TAATTATAATTAATTAATGAATAATAAATATATTTATATTTTCGAAAAATGAGAAAAAATTAAAAAATATTATCAACACAATTGGTTAAAATTTTTTAAAGCTGAAACAGAAAATAAAACAAATATACACGACAAATAATTTATCAAATAAAAATCAATAAAAATTTAAAGTAAAAATCACATAGTGAAAATAGAAAAAAATATCAACAGTAATTTATTAAATACTTCCTCTATAAAAGAAAATAAAAATAAAAAACTGTTGATAAAAATCAAAAAATTATATCCTCTTCTTTCTTCAGGCAATTGCCTCACTCGAGTTTTAAAAGAAAAAAAAAAAAAATTCTACACGCGGATGTTAAAATAATATGATTGTATCGAAAACAATCTAGGATAAAATATTTTTCGGAATTTTTAAAAAAAAATATTAAATCCCAATGCTACCTGCTTAAAAATAAACTTGCATTCAAGAACAATTAATTTCCCTTCCTAGCTGTATTCTAGAAAATAGAAAATCATACATTCATATCTTAACTATTATAAACACTCCGTTTTCATTTATACTGCCCAAGGTGCAAATAATCCTAAACTAGAGTTTACATCCCGGGACGCAACTGACACCTGGAGCTTAAATTCGCCACATTAGGGCTTTTTAAATACACGCATACAAATTTCAATGACACTTTAGGGTCATTAAAACACCTGAAAAATGCGTACAACGTTTTCTGATTTTCAAATAAATTTTCTATTAAAAAACAAATATTTTTCGTAAAACTGTAAAATTTACATTAATTTAAATAAAAAATTTTTTTTTTTATAAATTTAATTTGCTTTTTAATTTAATTATAAAAAGCATTTGATATCGACCAGTATTTTCTATAATTATATTAATTACATAATTTCGTTTTAAAGACAGACGGAAATCTATAATAAAAAAAAACATTCATACACACTCACGCACTTATTGCAAATTTCTCGTCTGATTGCAGAAAACGTTATACGCATGAATAAAAAAAAAAATTATTAATGACTCGACTTTAATTTAATTTTAATGTAAATTTTTAACATTTATCCAATAATTATAAAGTAGAAGAAAAATTAAAGTTAACATATTATTAAAAAAACTTATTTACTGTACTTTTAATAAGATATTAATATTTTTTTTTTAAATTGTAATTAAAAATAAATTTTTTAAATAAAAAAAAAATGTTGAAAAAATAATTTATAAAAGTCACATTCACAAAAATAATAATTAATATTCAGTGAAATCTTTTCTCCGTTTTATATTTTAACAGAATAAAATCGCGCTTTTTAAAATCTAATTATAAATTCAATTATTGAACAAAATTTTGAAAGGATGAAACTAAAAATGTTGAAAAGAATTGTAAATTGCGTGCTGAGAAAAGAATTTCCTGTTTTATGAAAAAAAACAAAGAATGGCGAATATAAAATTTCGCTAATTAAAGAAATTAATCCTTAATTAACGTTCACTATGTGATTTTTTAATTTGAGTGCCAAATGAGACTGTAATTTTAAATAACATCAATTATATGTCTTATTTGTCTTATCCCATATAAATTATTTAATAAATTAAAAAAATAGTAGGTATATAGAGAAAAGCTAATTCTATTTTTTTTTCTTCTAAATGATTTTATCTTCTTTTATGTGTATATATTTTGCTTTTAAATTAACTAATTAACTTTGAGCTTAAACACATTGTTTCAAGTTGCCAGGATCATTGGACACTCAAAATACGTATTACAACTTATCTCCTCCTAGCATATTGGAGACAAGAGGGACTCACATTCTCGACTATCCTTCCTCTTGATGGGTCGTCCATCCATCCACCTTCCTTCCTTCCTTCCTGTCTTTCATTTTCTGAAAATTATGAAAACCAATTAATTTCAAAACCGACAGTGTATAATTTAATGTTTCAAAGATTATTTATTTAAAGCAATTAATTTAAAATAATTGATAATCAGAAAAATTATAAATTATTTTTAATATATTAAGAATAGAAAATTTACCTTTATTGCGGAGGCTGGTGGAAAATAAATATATCCTCATATTTTTTAATACACTTTCACATTTTCACACTTTTACACTGTCACCAAAATATTACTATCATTATAACACCTGCAACAGAAAAAAACAAACAAAATACTTAATTATTTTGATAATAAAACCATTTATCGCTTTCATTTAATTTAATTATTGTCATATATTAAATATGAACAAAATTCAATTAAGTTTTCTAGGTTATGAAATATTAAAAAAATATTCTTAAAATAAATAAAAATAAATATTCGAATTTTGTTTTCCAGTCATTAAAAAAGTACACATTGTTTTAATACATTAAAATTATTTTTATCTCCTAACCAAACTTTTGATATACGTCCAAAAAGTTTATATACCATTTTCATGCAAAAACATCAGCATTTCATAAATAAGACAACAAAACATTGAATTATTCACACAATTAAATGTAACAACACAAATTATTTTGTAAATAATTGAAAAAGTACAATTTAATTCAATAATTTAAACAAAAAGAACTAGCAAAAAACAATGAACAGACTAGGAAATGATTTCCCGCGTAAAATGTTTGTCAATAAACCCAAATCTCAAAAATGTACTTTTATCCATTTTACTTAATTACATTACAATTTATCATATTGTTTTCACATTTATTTTGAATAATAGCATTAAATTAAGCAAATTCAGATGAAAATTGCATATAATTACATTATTTATCCACAAAATAAGCAGGTTTCAATTGCACGATAATCGAGAGAGTATATTCAATCCATAATTTCCAATAAAAGATGAAAATTTTATTAATTAGTCACTTTTAATATAATATTTAATCTAAACATTAAATTCACAACAAAAAACACACAAACACGATTTATATTACACGAAATTTGTTTATATAATAATCGCGAAACAAAAGGAGCGAAAAATTAATTGACGAAATAACCGTTAAACATTCTATGAACTGAAGTTAGCACGAGTCAAAAATCAACAAGATTGCCAACCATTTAAGAAATTCGCGCATGTGCACAACTTGAAATAGGCGCGAAAATTTTAAATTTTAATTTTATTAATATTTTTATTAGAAATTATTTTAATTTTCAATTTATTAATACAATTTTTATCAGTTAAGAAAATTTTCATTTAAACAAATATTGTGTTTATTTAAATAAATCTAAGTAAAGTGTAAATATTGCTTAATAATAATTTTTAAATTTGAATTAATTTAATTTAATAAAAGTAAAAAATCTCTTACCTGATTTTATTTAACCCACTTTTAAGAAATAAATAATAAATACAAAAATTTATTACTAAATTAAGCGAAAAAAAATTATATTTTATCATAGTAATAAAAATACTTGACATTTCTCAATCTTCTTTAATTTATTTGCCTATAATTTAACTAATCACTCGATATTAGTTAAAGAAAATATTTAATTAAAATTTAAACTCCTTTTTAAAATGACAGTAATAAAATTATTATATAAAAAAAACGAATATGTAAAATTTTCTTATATACAAAGACATATGAATTTAAATTAAATAATTTAATTTCAGTAAACTGAAAATTAAGGCATCATTAAAATTTTAATAACCGCTGCAAAAAACATATGTACAAGAATTACTATCCAAATTTAATTAATTAAAATCTATTTTAAAACACTTTTCTTGAACCCTCTTCACCCCCGAAAAAAAGAAAAAAATCTTAAGATATATTTTCGTTATTCATCAAGATGCATTAGTATAACGAATTAAAAGTTTACCTTGCCGTGATCGTTGCTGCCGTTTTAATTAAATTCCCACGCTTAGTAGGAAGTGCACAAGGCGTTTCCGGGCATTAGCCTTCCACCTGTTTCTCGCTTGTGACACCCTCGACTCTACGTTCTCCTTATAGGAGATCCTTATTCCATACCTTCTTTCCAGTTGTTTCACTTGAACTATTTTCGGGAAAACATGGAATGGATTTGAACGACAATCAACTGCCTTTACGCCTTTTCTCAAATTTGTATTTTTAAGCTCATATTCCAAGATTTATGCACAGTCCTGAACCTTGCACTTTAAGGGGAGGTACATTATTTACCTGTAAATGAATTTAAAAAATTAATTACATTTACACAAATTAGAGAAAAAATATAATTAAATAACAGATTAAAATTAATTACCTATAGGAATTTAAATTACAAAAATTAATAAAGCGTAAAATTAAAAATTTACAAAATTTATAGCAAAATCTAAATATATAATTATAAATTTGGTAAATAATGTGGAAAATATTGATTAATAAATTCTTTTTTAGTTCGATAAGGTATTAGTAATCAATTCTAAGAAGATTCTGTAATAATAATAATTGATAATCTAATGTTAACCTCGAGAAAAGTGCGCTTACGTCAAGTGGAAGAAAACTGGTTTAAGGGCTACTTGACACTCATATCGATGATTAATTGTAAACAAGTTATGTGATCTTTTTCAAGAAGCCAATATTTTTTTTTTATCGTAAATAAAAAATTTTTTAATATTTTTTCTTTCCCTTTTCTAATAACCCTTTGGGATTTTTGATTCATAAACAAGGATTTAAGATTTTAATATTACTATATACCTTAACGTCTAAATTGTAAAATAATTTAATACACAAGAATTTAATTAATTTGATCAATGAAAAAATAAATTTATTAAAATAATAAAATAAAAAAATGAGTTAATAAAATTTTTCTTAATGATAAATAAAAATATTATTTTAAAAAAATATATATTTCATTATATTGTGATATATCAGAAAAATTTATACTCGTACTGAAAATCTGTGAGAAAAATCAATAAAAATGAAATCAGGAAAATATATTGTTGTCAAAGATATTTCTCGAAAAAAAACTGCGTATTCCAGAGATTTATTTACCATGTTAGCGATTCTAGAGAAATTGATTTCCACATAATAATAACAACTAAAGGCCAATCTTTAATCAAGCTGTTATCATCCAAGGTGCAAAAAAAGTGCAGTAATGAATCTATTAGTCACCTGATTTCTTCTTCAATCAGATATATAAACTGGAGCCCACAACTAATCCAATCAGTCATAACGAAATCTACAAAGAAAATAACATTTATTAATAAAGCATAGTAACAAAAGTGTGTATTACAAAAAAAGTATAATTTTTTGATACAAGTGTTTCATTAAAATATAATTTATATATTAAATTCAGCTAATTTGAAATTTAATTTTTAGAAAAAAAAACAAGATGAAAGTTGTTGCTATACTGTGTCTTTTGACATTTGTGATAGCAGTTAACGCTGTCCCTGCTGGACCATGGGATTGGCCACCTAATCCATGGGATTGGAAATGTAGACCGCCTGGCTTTATTGTAAGTTTCAAAAAATAGTTGAATTTTAAATTTGAAATTAAAAGAATTAATTTACAATTATAAAATTTTTAGAATTATTAATACAATCAATAATAGCTAAAAAATAGTAATTAAATTGAAAAGAAAAATTAAAATTGCTTCTCTAATATATAAATGATGATATCACATCAGAGCGACCGCCGCGTATGCGGTAAAGCGGTTTGGATATACACCACTTAAGCCTGCGGAGTTTAGTGGAATCTAGATGCAAATAATTAAAACCGTTGCGGTCACATACGACATTTAATACAAGAATTTATTTATTAATTTATAGTGTAATGGTCCGGACCAGTGTTGCAAGCCATTTATATGTAATCCATGGGCTGGACGTTGTACTAAAATCAAAACAACATCAACAACAACAACAACTGAGGCAGCGCCAGACAGTTCTGAATCAAATGGTGGAACATCGTCTGAAGGATCACAAGAAACGCCTAATAATTCAGGTGAAAATCCCAGTTCAGGTGAGGGATCAAATTCAGGTGGAGATGGTTCAAATTCAAGCTCCGAAGGCAATGGCAATGGAGGTGGTGCAAATTCTGGAGAAGGATCCAATTCAAGCTCCGAAGGCAATGGCAATGGAGGAGGTGCAAATTCTGGAGAAGGATCCAATTCAAGTTCCGAAGGCGCCGGAAATGGAGAAGGTTCAAATTCTGGAGAAGGATCCAATTCAAGTTCTGAAGGCGCTGGAAATGGAGGGGGTTCTAATTCTGGAGAAGTTTCTAATTCCGGTGAAGGATCTAATACGAGTGGAGGTGACAATTCCGGAGAAGGATCTAATTCGAGTGGGGGTGCAAATTCCAGTGAACAACAACCGGAACCTGAGCCAGAACCAGAGCCGGAACCCGAGCCAGAACCTGAACCAGAGCCCGAACCAGAGCCAGAACCCGAACCAGAACCTGAGCCAGAACCGGAACCCGAGCCAGAACCAGAACCCGAACCAGAGCCCGAACCAGAACCTGAGCCAGAACCGGAACCCGAGCCAGAACCAGAACCTGAGCCCGAACCAGAGCCAGAACCGGAACCCGAGCCAGAACCAGAGCCCGAACCCGAGCCAGAACCTGAGCCCGAACCAGAGCCTGAACCAGAACCTGAGCCCGAACCTGAACCAGAACCAGAGCCAGAAGAACCCAGTGAAGGATCTGAAACTCAATAAATTCCATTATTAATAAAAGTGTGACTGAATGTGGAAATTAAATTATTCCAATCAAAGACGACTGCGATAAATAGAAAAAAATATTTAATTTAGATATTTTCAATTAAAGGTAGAACAACAGATTCATTATTTACATGTTTATCTTTTTTTTTTTGCCAAAATTTTAGATTAATTTTAATTTATATTTTTTACTACCAATTTTAATTATTTAAATTTAATTATCCAAGTTGTTCTACTTTTCAATTTTTTCTTATAGCAATTTAGATTAATATTTTTATTCTCATCTAGAGGTGGCAGAACAGTTTTATTTTTCAAAAAAGCCTTCGGGTTGAGACAAAAAAAAAAAATTTATATATATCAAAAATATTATTGAAATGAAAGTGTTCAATTTCACTATGCCCCTAAGCCTTTTTAAATGTAAGAATGAATATTTATTTTCTCTTTGACTTCGCTAGCTCTGCTACAACTGGTTCTCATTATTTTATTGTCTTTTATTTAAGCTTTAGAAAAATAATTTTCGTCTCACGCATAATTTCACCGATATGTATTATTAAATTTCAAAGCGCTTTTCAAAAAAAAAAAAAAAAAGTTTTGTGTCGAATTAATCTATATATATGTATTAGAAAAAAAATTATATTAATAAAAAATATTCTTGTTATTTTCAATTAAATATTTCTATTTTTCTTAAAATGAAATTTACCCAATATATAAATATATACTATCAATTATACCAATAATTGAGGTATTTCTCTCAATTAATGGACTCTTTTATCTTTTAATCAAGTTGGTGAATGTGATAATGATATTTGCGTTGGATTTCCAAACATCTGCTTTTAAATAATTATTTTTTTTTTTCATTATTTGAAAATGTAAATGAATAATTTATTGATAAAAGCGAGATTTTATAGTTTGGAATTGATGGATATTTACAATTAAGAAAATAATGAATTTGAAAAATGATCTTAATTAAAAAAATATTTAATATATTCTGCAATAAAATAAATATTATATTATAATTATTCGAGAATAATCGTGAAAACCAAACTACCACTTTTCGATCGACATGAAATAGCGTCGCATTCTTTACGACGTTCTTTTATGATTTGGTCTCGTTTCAAAATTAAAATAAAGAAATATATACTCACTATTTTTTTTCTCGTTTGCTTAAATTATAATATATTATAAATTGGATCTTCTTTTGATTATTATTAAATCTTTGAAAGAATAATATTCCATTATAAATTATTTTTAAGGTTATGTTTTCTAGTTGCGTTGTTAAAAGACAACAATTTGCTATTTTCAAATAAGTTGATTTCAATTTAAATATTTATTCCAGTGAAAGTAATGGCAAATTTTCGTCTCAGTGCAAAGAATATTATATAAATCGATTGGAAATTTAATAAAATGTGATTATATTGACAAATGTTATTGACCAGTACTCCACTTTTTTTTGTTGTAATTAACAGCGCCACCTAGTGAAATTTATAGAAACCTACAATACAATTCAACCGGAAGTGGGTGGAAATTACCTAAACTTTGTTGCTTAACTTGTCCACCAATGATATTTTTCTTGCATAATAGTTAATAATTTCTCATTGGTCGAGTGAAAAAACTAACATTAATAGAGTAAAGGCGCTCTCACACCTTTTTGGCTGCCTGCAGGTTACCATGGCAACGCATGAGAGTGAGTGCGACAGAAAATTTAAAAATTTGAATATTCAAATTTTCTGTCTCACTCACACTCGTGCGTTGCCATGGTAACCTGCAGGCAGGCAGGCAGCCAAAAAAGGTGTGAGTGCGCCATAACCGCCAAAAAGTCACATTCAAGTAAATGACGCTCAGTGAACAATTGTTGCTTTTTATTGTATTTTCGCGAGTTTCAGTTAAATTTCAGTGTTCCGAAGTAGGTAATTCGTGTTTTCTTCAATGATATAATATAAATTGTGCTGCAAATTGAATATTTTCCGAAAAAAACCGAAAATTTGATAAAAGTGTGCCGCGCGCCAAACAGCTTCGTGAAAAAAAGTTCAATATTCCCTATTTTAGCAAATCCATTATAAATTTTCAATATTCTAAAGCATCTAGTTCGTGTTTTCTTCCATTATTTGCATTAGTTTAATATTTTCCGGAAATAAATCGAAAATTCAAAAAACGAGGTTCATGGATACGAACATAACCATAAAAAAGCTTTGCAAGCGGGATTAGTCGGAATTTTTCGCTAAAGTGTGACGCGCGCCAAACAGCTTTGTGAAAAAAAGTTTAATATACCAAAATCCTTTTATAAATTTTTAGTATCCTAAAGCATTTAGTTCGTGTTTTCTTTCATTATTTGCATTAGTATAATATTTTCCTGGAAATAAATCGAAAATTCGCAAAAGGAACATAACCATAAAAAGCAAATTAGTGGGAATTTTTTGCATTTTTTGTTCGACAAGTTTTAGTGTATAACGTATTTTTTTTAGTATATTGCATAAAATAACTGTAGAGTATAAAGTGACTGTAATATTTTCTAAATAAGCCATTTGTGAAAATCCGATGCCTGTTAACAGTACGATCTAGAAAGGGTATAGAGGAAGAAACAATAAGTGCGATCAAATCTCATGACCGGGAGCCTGGGTCGGTCGCAGAAAAGAGAAGTGTTTATGTCGTGGATAGAGGTAGGGCAGAGAGCGTCGGCGTCACCGGCTCGGTGTTCCGTGCTGCTGGTCCAGGGGGTTGGGCACGGGTCGGGATGCTGCTCGGCCGTGCGTCGTTCAACTTCGGTGTTATTCGGTTCTTTCCGCCGATCTCTGCGGGGGCAGAGGCCTCTTACCCTCCCTTTCACCGGCAGTTCACTTTACTCTCGAGCACTCCCGAGTGAGCCGCGTACATGCGTGTAAGTCTTTATCGAGCAGAATTACGAATGCCGTTAAATTCAATATATTGTTTAAAAATATAGTTTACGGTTTGCGGTAGAGTTATCAGTTTTTTATATGTCAAAATTTAATAATTCTAATATAACCTCGCGGTGTGACAATACGATAAGGATTAATTGATTGTAGTGTGATTATTTGGTGAAATATTTACGGTATATTGTGACGTGTTAAGTGTCGAAAGAAATGCAATTGCATTTCTTTGAATATGAAACTAAGGATCGTTGAATGTTTAGATGCAAAAGTCGCGTGATTGGGGCGTGTGTTATATAGCAAGGGACTTTAACTGTCATCTCATCTCTTCCTCTTTGGTAAGCACGAGAGAGATGAGGTTGACCGAGCACGTGAACTTTAATCGATCCTGAGAATTGGAGAAGAAAAGTAGATTTTCCAATCGGGCGTAAACGAGCTTTTGTTTTATTGGCCTCAGGACCGCGCGCGCGATCAAAAGCCCGGTTGATGGACGGTACCGGCGGGATTGAGAGTATTATCCCGAAAATCCGGAATGTCGTGGCAGGTTATGTCTCTCATGACGTGAGTTAGTGGGTGTTTTGTCGCCGGTAGTAAACGTTACATATAAACCTGCATGCTACCAGTCCAGTGTCATTGACTCACGAACCTGACTTGCGCGCTCGACCATCCGTGAAACGCGTTCATCTCCTGGATTTGTGAATTTTGGATTTCAATGGGCCTAGAATTTCAATACAGTGCGTGCAACAAAATGGATTAAGAATTGAAGATTGTGACACTTTTTTAATTGAACAAGTTGGACTTTAATATTTGTGGATGACGATCAATATCGAACATCCAATTAAGGGATAATGAGATGAAACTCTTGTCATGTGGGTTTTTGTTTACATTCGAAGTTTGTTTGTGTTGTAAAATTAGGGATTCTCATCAGTGAATTAAAAAAAAAAAAACTGTGATTTATGTAAAACAGGAACAATTATTATAACGGGATTATAAAATTTTTTTTTCACATTTGAGGTTAGAATTAAAAAATAAAGTTCGTGGAGTGTTTCGCTTATCAATCGAGTTTTATTTTATTCGTTGGAGTCAAGTGTTAAATGTGTCGATTATTTTAAATGGACAATTTTTAATTTATTGTGATTTAGTGCTCCGCGTGTATTACAAGTGATTACGGAAAATAATTTGAAAGTGTTTATTGAAAATCAACAACCATGGAGGGACAAATAGGATCTAGATCTGTGCTGCTGAAAATGAAGTTGCTGTTCCTGGTCATCTTCTGTTCTACTCCTGTTGTTAAAGGTAAGATCTTTTGCGACCTTCATTAATTTCAATTGTGGAAAGTCTATTACTTGTGCTATCAGGATAGTCACGTTCCTGGACCATTAAACCAAGTTTAACGGCCCGGTTAATACGTGCAAGTATGTCCTCTGTACCTCCGTTCCAATGGTGTTTCATCCCAGGGTTTATGAGATAAAACAACCGGGTTGGGTACTTTATGACAAAAACAAACTGGCTACCCAGTTTGTCTTAAACCACAATCTTTTAGTAAAATAATTTACTATAGGTAGTATTTGGATTTCCAAAATCGTTTTAGTGAATAATTTTTTTTTTAAATACAGTAGATCTTTGAGAAAAGGTTTATTTATTTTTAAATCACAAATTTAAATTTTTCTTTCTAAACTTTTTTTTTTTTTTAAATATAATTGTCAGTTTTATTCATAACTTCGCATCAATATATCAAAACTTGTTATAATTTGTCTGACTTCAAAGTTTATACAATTCGTTCTGATTGCTTGAAAATTGTAGATATTTACCCAACATTTCTTTTCTTTGGGAAACACGTTTCAAGACTGGTTGTTCCAGTTTCTGATAAGCATTAGCTGTCAGATACATCAATCTATTCTAGAGAAATATATATATCTGAATAACAGGGTATAAAGCTTGCAATATTGAAGCTGGAATAACCAGTTTTTTTAATATAAACTTGAAGTTAAGAATAGATCAAAATTAAAGTTTGCTTTTTAATCCAATGTGAAATTTTAAGAACTTTATTAAGTGTTAAACCGTATTTATATTATAATTGAATTCAAAGTGATTTATTTATAAAATCAAAGTATAATTTTGACGAATAAGAATCTTCCATTAAATGTGTAGTAAATAAATTATTTTCTACCGATTCGTTGCACATGTGGTGTTAGGAGGTGTATAACATAGGTTTAAATTGCTATGTGGCAAGACTTATGAGGTCAAAACGATTAACTTCGGATTTATCTTAGTGAGTATAATAGAAAATTAGGTTGATTGAATACCCGCAGTTGGAATTTCGTGTTCCTTTTTGATAATAATTTTCAGTGGCGCGGAACTAATTTCTATTTTGATTAATGAATTTCTCTATATTGTTTCTCTATTTCTGTTTCCTGATAGATTGTCATTTGGAATAATTTTTTTTCCCGCCTATAAATATAATTTTTTAAATATTGAAGTTTGAATTTAATTGTTTATATCACTTAACAATTAAAAAAACATTAACGATATAATATTCGATATGAGAGCAGAATTTTGGATGCTTTCCATTTTGGAAAGCTTCCAGGTTTATTATAACATTTTGAGTCTCGATTTTTATAAATTCTGTATTATCTTTTTATTATTAAAACGAATTTTAATTGTTTTTAATATAATAATTTCAATCATTGAATAAAAAATTTTTTTTTTAATCTTTTAGAGATCATTTTTAGATAACTTTTTTGATACTGTATATATATAAATTCACTCTATTGTAGTCGTATAA